CCACATGTGAACACAACTAACTGTTGGTACCTGTCATGTGTGGACACAACTAACTGTTGGTACCTGCCATACATGAACACACCTAACTATTGGTACCTGTCATGTGTGGACACAACTAACTGTTGGCACCTGCCACATGTGAACACAACTAACTGTTGGTACCTGCCATGTGTGAACACACCTAACTGTTGGTACCTGCCATGTGTGAACACAACTAACTGTTGATACCTGCCATACATGAACACAACTAACTGTTGGCACCTGCCACACATGAACACAACTAACTGTTGGCCCTTCCCATGCGTGAACACAACTATGTCTAGTCATTATGCAAATGTATGGGATTCGCTTCTACTAGAGTCAGGCTAATAGCCAGGAATTTGCAACTACCAGTCCAAAACAAATCAACTTCATGAAAATGTAGATGGTTTTGGATATATTTTGGTAAAATTATTAAAGAACAATACGAAAAAACAGACAAATGGGAAAAAGTTGCCTGTTCATTTGGGGAGTGAACTGGTGGCTGGCTAACACCTTGCAACTAATAACAGTTAGATTACCAATACCAGTAAAGTAAACAATACACATGAAAAAAAAAAGAATACCAGATGAACAATAGCAGTGATATACAATAATAGTGAAATAAACAATAATAGTGAAATAAACAATAGCAATGAAATCAACAATAGCAGCGAGATAAACTATAACATTGAGATAAACAATAATAGCATATAAACAATAACAGTGAATTAAACAATGTGAAACAAACAATAATAATGAAATAAACAAAAACAGTGAGATAAACAATGTGAAATAAACAACAAAAGTGAAATAAACAATTATAGTGAATTAAACAATAACTGTGAGATAAACAATAATAGTGAAATAAACAATAACATTGAGATAAACAATAACAGTGAGACAAACAATAACAGTGAGATAAACAATAACAGTGAGACAACAGTGAATTAAACAATAACAGAGAAATAATAATAGTGAGATATACAATAACATTGAAATAAACAATAACAGTGAGATAAACAATAACAGTGAGACAAACAATAACAGTGAAATTAACATTAACAGTAAGATAAACAATAACAGTGAAACAAGCAATAACAATGTGATAAACAATAATAGTGAAATAAATCATAAAAGTGAAATAAACAACGATGTGAAATAAACAATAACATTGAGATAAACAATAACAGTGAGACAACAGTGAATTAAACAATAACAGAGAAATAATAATAGTGAGATATACAATAACATTGAAATAAACAATAACAGTGAGATAAACAATAACAGTGAGATAAACAATAACAGTGAAATAAACAATAATAGTGAAAAAAACAATAATGGTGAAATAAACAATAACAGTGAAATAAACAATAATAGTGAAAAAAAAACAATAATGGTGAAATAAACAATAACAGTAAAATAAACAAAAATAGTGAATACCAGTAACATTGTTCTGGTCGTACTCTGATATTGGAATTGACAAATTCAATTGCTATTAAGGTAGCGAGACTATTATTTGTGTTGAAAATTACGATTTTCACATTTATTTATCAATTGATGAAATGCACTATAAACTTTCATATGATAAAGTCAACATAACATAGAATGTCATGTAAGTTGGTTAAAATGTAGATTTTCTGAAGGAAAGCAAGGCAGCCTCAGTAGTGTTTTCCAAAATCAACAACACAGGTTTAATCTGTGTGCCTATAAGTTTCAAAGATAAACTCAAGACAAAGCAATGTTAGGATGTGTTATCAGTAGCTATCTGACACACAATGAGTGTTTCCAAACATTTGAGTGGTTTGTCTCCGCCCCTGTTTGTTTCACAGATTAGTCATTTGCATATGAATGTGTCAGACACAAGGTCACACAGCCACTGAAAAAAATCATTGATTTTGGTGTTTTCATATGCCGAATTTATCCAAATATAGCTATCCCATTCCTTTATTTTTTTGGTTTCCAATAGCCTTACACATTTGGATGTTCCCTACACATGTTAAAACAGACCTTGATGGGAAAACAAATTGATTGTGCCGATAAACAAGCTTGAAAATCTTTGCTGTTACTTCATGGACGTTTTCTAGGATTTTATGTTTTTCACAATACAAGGTCTTTAACAAAAAATAACGTATACTTATTGTCGTCGGATTAACACCAAATTT